ATAAATTTAAATTAAAAAAAAAAAAAAAAAAGAAACATGCCAGGGGTATGTGGTGCATGCCTGTCCAAAACTCCAACAGGAGGGAGACAGCCATGAAAGAGAAAGAACTGGGGTGTGGTCACCCCTCACGGGAGGCGCTTTCTCCTCTGTCTCCGGTGAGCACAAACCTTCTAGGCAAAAAAATAAATAAATAAATAAGGAAAAAAGGGACTTACACAATAAAGGAGGACGAAAGTGGCCCGGCCTCAGTGGCCAGCAGGTGGCGTGGTAGAGAAGGTGCAGGACTCCCACGTGGCCGACCAGTTTGAGTCCTGGATCTGGAGGCTTGGAAATCACACTGGGCACGCGCGCGCGCGCGCGTGTGTGTGTGTGTGTGTGTGTGTGTGTGTGTACCCAAAAATCCCAGGAGGATGGGGCTAGCAGGTGGTGTGGGGGTTAAGGCCACCGAACTCCCACATGATCGACTGTGGTTCGAGTCCTGGACTTGGCAGCTTGCTTTCTCACTCCCCCATCCTCACTCTGTCCCTTTGTGGTCAAATTAAAATAAACAAAGTTTAATAATTCTTTAAAAAAAAAAAAAAAGAAAAATCCCAGGAGGAGAATGGAGGAGGGATTGTGACATGGCCATGTCCCCAGGGGGTGACTCCTCACTCTCTCATGTCCTATAGCAAAACTCGACCCTCAGCCATCTCTGAAACCAGGAGATACACCTTGCGTGGGATTTGGTGGCAACCCAACCCCTCTGGCTCCTCCGTGGATGAGGTGACCGGATCGGGAATGGCTGGGCCCCCAGGGGACTAGTCTCCAGGTTGGGGGAAACAGCTTACGGGTCCCATGGGCACCACCCCAAAAAGACAGCAGGTCACTGTCACCCACACCACAGCCATCTGTGACCTGGGTCAGGCCGGAGGAAGGACAGCTGTCAATCAGGCCAGAACTTCTAGCGGATCCCACAGATACTGGCCGGCCCAGCAGCCCTGAGCGACAGGTCAGGGCAGGAGGAATCTCGGCTAGTAAGAGTGGAAGGCAGTGGGGCCAGGTGAGTGCGAGTGCCAGCCTCTGCCACTGTGGTTCAGGTCCAGGCTCGGGAAGGCCAGCGATGTGGCCTACCCTGGACGTCGTGCAGGACGAGGTGACATGGAGAAAGCACAAGAATGCTTGGATGTAGGCAGTGCTATATACAGGCTGGCTGGCCTTTTTTTTTTTTTGGAGAGGTTTTTGCTATACGGTTTTGTGCATTCACCAGAGACACAGGGAGACAGAGAGACAGAAAGCAAGAAATCACCCCCCCCCCCCTCAGGGATCATGGCAATCCCTTCTCCTCTTGGGAGAATGAATAAATAAAATGAATATTATTTTTTAAAAAAAGAACAGTAGATGGGACCAGCAGTTGGCGTAATGGCTATGTCGCTGGACTCCCAGGTAGTCGACCGCGGTTCGCATCCCGGACCCGGTGGCTTAAAACTCACTCCGGGCGCGTGTGCATGCGTGCCCAAGATCCCGAGAGGAGAATGGAGGAGAAGGGATTGTGGTGTGACCATCCCCCCTGGGGGGTGATTTCTCACTTCCTATCTGTCTGGCAAGCGCATGCGCCCTATAGCGAAAACCTCTCCAAAAAAAAAAAAAGTAGCCAACCTACGTGACATTCTTTGTAGGCTTCTATATCCCTTAGAAGACTGACGGCGATTATTAACTTAGTACTTAGACAGAACCCTGGCTTCTGGAATGTCCCAGGCATCTTGACACACAGCCTGCGCCTGGAGCTCCATCCGGCTGAGCACGCAGTCCCTGAGGCTGTCTGTCTGGGAATGGGGTTGCTTTAACACCCTTCTGCATTCTTCCCTTCTCGGTTCTCCCAGGCATGGGCTAGTTTGTCTCCAACAGGTCTCCAACTTCTATTTAGAAGAATTAATTCATGGGACCAGCAGTTGGCGCAATGGCTATGTCGCTGGATTCCCATGTAGTTAGTTGACTATGGTTCGAGTCCCGGATCCGGTGGCTTAAACTCACGCCGGGCGCGTGTGCGTGCGTGCGTGCATGCCCAAGATCCCGAGAGACTGAAGAAGGGATTGCCGCCCAAAGGCAAAACCCCTCCAAAAAAAAAAAAAAAGTTATTATTTTTAATTTATTTATTTAAATTTGACCAGACAGGGGGCAGATTGAGAGAAGGAAAGTGAGAAAGCAAGCTGCCAAATCCGAGACTCGAACCACAGTAGGCCATGTGGGAGTCCACTGCTCTTAGCCACCACACCACCTGCTGGCTCCTTTATTATTTTTAAAGAATTATTTAATTTTATTTATTCATTTATTTATTTTAATATGAGCAGAGAGACAGAGATAGAAAAAGTGAGAAAGCAAGCCACCAGGTCTGGGACTCAAACCGTGGTTGGCCATGTGGGAGTGTCCAGTGACTTAAACACCGTGCCACCTGCTGGTGCCATTATTTTTTAAGAATTATTTAACTGTAGGTGACTAGCAGGTGGTGTGGGGGTTGGGGTTCTGGACACTCCCACATGGCCAACCACGGTTTGAGTCCCAGACCTGGTGGCTTGCTTTCTCACTTTCCTTCTCGCTCTGTGTCTCTCATCAAATGAAAACAAATGAATGAATAAATAAAATTAAATAAATAATAGAAAAAAGAATTATTTAATTTTATCTGTTCATTCATTTATTTTAATTTGACCAAAGACAGGGGAGGGAATTGAGAAAGCAAGCCTCCAGGTCTGGGACTAGAACTGTGGTCGGCCATGTGCAATCCAGTGCCCTTAACTATAGTGCCACCCGTTGGCCCCAACTTTTTATTCTTTACACACAAGAATGTGTGCTTGTGTGCACAAAAAAGAAGGCACCCCAGCAGGGCCTGGTCACACCACAACCCTTTTCTGTCCAATTTGCCTTCCTGTCCGGATTTGGGGCACACACCCAGTGTCTATTGCAAGTCACTGGGGCGGGGACTCAAACCCTGGCCAGCCACGTGGGTTCTGGTTTCCGCTGAGCAGTACTTAACCACTGCGCTGAGGGGCCAGCGTACGATTTTTGCTATAGGGCTTGTGAACTTGCTGGAGAGATAGAGACAGAAAGCGAGAAATCACCCCCCAGCGGGGATGGTCACGCCGCAATCCCTTCTCCTCCATTCTCCTCTCGGGATCTTGGGCACGCACGCACACGCGCCTGGCGTGAGTTTAAGCCACCGGGTCCGTGTCTTGAACTGGGGTCAACTACATGGGAGTCCAGTGACAGCCATTGCACCACCAGTTGGCCTTGAAGCAGTTTCTGAGTGTTCCGGTTTCACAAGCACGTGACCTACAGACCTCCAGCCCATCCCTGGCTGTCGCTAGCACCGAGGACAGGCTCAGATGGTCAGTGAGTGACCTGGGGTACACGTGGCAGGTGTACCAGTGAGCAAAGAGGCGGGGCTGGGGCACGCAGGCTCAGAGGGCGGAGAAGACCCTCCCAGTCTCGAGGGTCCCAGCCACGGGGGGGACAGGTCTCTCACGGGCCTGACGGGGCTCACGGACGGCAGCTCTGAGAACCACGAGACCACGGGAGGGACAAGGCCACGTTTATTGCTGTGGGTTAAAGCAGCGGAGTCGGGGCCAGGGCATGTGAAGGGAGAGATGCAGAGGAGGCTGGTGGCCACGTCCTCGCAACCACGGCTGGGGTCCCGGCACCCAGGGAATCCGAATCTTCCTGCTATGGGTCTGTCGGTCACCTGCTCCTGCATCAAGCCCCCCTCGAAGTCCTAGGTGTGCCCCAGTGCTGAGGGGGATGTAGACAGGTCCTCTCCTCCATGTACAGCCTTGGGGTCACCTGCAAGGTCCGAGTGCAGAGGCAGGGATGTGGTGCTGTCCTCTGCTGAGCCTGACCTCCTAGGAGGACATCTTGGAGGAGGCGGCTGCTCCCTTCTTCTTGGCTGGGGCCTTCAGCAGCGCCAGCTTCTTGGGCAGGCGGCTGCCGGCTTTCATCACCACGTCATGCTCGATCTTCTTCCGGATCCCCACCTCCAGGTCCTGAGGGCAATTGAGGCAGTCAGACCGGAAATGGAGGCCTCGCCGTTCACCCTCTTCCTGCCTGGAGCTGGCAGGGGCGGAGGGGATCAGCAACTTCCCTCTCAGGCGGGATGTTAGCGCCTGGGGGATACGTCAAGTCCTGCCTCTGTCCTGCACCTGCCCGAGCCTCAGCACACAAAAAGACCCCCACAGAAAGTCTCTGCACCTTTAGTTTTGGCTGTAGGGTGACAAAGAAAAAAATCACCCCCCAGCGTGATTTTTCTGGACACAGCCTGGTGTTGCTCTCAAACTGCCGGACCCGGGACTCGAACATGCAGTCAGCCATGTGGGATCGCGTTGTCTCAACTTCCATCTACCAGCTGGCCCTGCCCTTGGCTCTTAGAACGTGCAGTCAGCCACGTGGGATTGTGTTGTCTCAACTTCCATGCTACCAGCTGGCCCTGCCCTCGGCTCTTAAACCTGCTTGTACCCATTTTACAGATGGGGAAACCGAGGCTCCTGCAGTGAAGAGGCACTTGCCCAGGGTCCCCAAACCACCTGGTGACTAGGCCTAAGACCAGGCAGGCCCAGAGTCCCACAAAAATCTCTTAAGAAATAAATAAAAATTGGGGCTGGCAGGTAGCGTGGTAGGTAATGGTGCTGGACTCCCACGTGGCCAACTGTGGTTGGAGTCCTGGACCTGGTGGCTTGCTTTCTTGCTTTCCCTTTCTCTCTCTGATTAAAGTTAAAACCATAACAACAAATGCAATTAAATACATTTTTAAAATTAAAATTGAGGGACCAGCAGTTGGCGTCATGGCTATGTCGCTAGACTCGCGTGTAGTTGACTGCGGTTTGAGTCCCGGACCCAGCGGCTTAAACTCACACCGGGCGCGTGTGGGTGCATGCCCATCCCCCCTGGGGAAGATTTCTCACTTTCTGTCTCTCGCTCTCTCCGTCTTTCTGGTGAGCACATGCGCCCTGTAGCAAAAACCTCTCCAAAAAAAAAAAAAGTCAAAAACAAACAAACAAAAAATGTTCTGAGCTGTGACAAGACTAGTACAGCTGGAGGGTGTGAACTCGGGATGGTGGAAAGAGCGGAGCTGGGGAGGCTGCAGAGCAGAGGAGGGACAGATCAGACTTGGGCGCTCACAGGCTCCCCCTGGAGGCTGTGGTGGGACAGGGTGGGTGTCCAGAGACCCCTGGGCGTCTGGAAGGGCAGAGCAGTCCAGATGCCAGGCTGGACACTCCCATGTGGCGGACCACGGTTCGAGCCCTGACCTGGTGAATTGCTTTCTCACTTTCCCTCTGTCTCTGTCTCTCTTTGGTCGAATGAAAAGAAATGAATGAGTAAATAGAGTAAATAATTCTTAAAAACTTAAAAGTATTTACCACAGGGTGTGTGCACTTGCCAGAGAGAACCAGTGAGAAAGGATAGCCACCTGCAATCTCTTCTCTGCAGTCCCACACGTGGGAGGTCCAGCACCTTAACCACCGTGCCACCTGCTGGACCCTTTCCAACTGTTTTTTTTTTTTAAGAGAGCGATTTTTGCTACAGGGCTCATACACTCGCTATACACAGAGACAGACAGAAAACAAGAAATCAGCCCCGGGGGGAGGTGTGGGAGGGTGGCCAGGCCACAATCCCTTCTCTGTTCTCCTCTCAGGATCTTAGACATGCACCTGACATGAGTTTTAAGGCTCCAGGACTAGGACTCGAACTGCAGTCGACTGTGGGAGTCCAGTGACGTAATCATTACGCCACCTGCTGGTCTCTCCAACTTTTTTTTTTTTTTTTGAGTTTTTTGCTACAGGGCACATCCGTTCGCCAGAAAGACAGAGAACAGACAGAAGGCAAATCAACCCCTGGGTGGTGGTCAGGCTGCATTCCCTTCTCCATTCTCCTCTCGGGATCTTGGACACACGAACACATGCACCTGATATGAGCTTTAACCCTCCAGGTCTGGGACTTGAACTGCGAGTCACCTGTGGAAGGGAGCCCTGTGATGTAATCATAACACCATCTACTGGTCCCTCCACCTTAAAAAAAAAAAAAAAGATTTACTGGGACCAGCAGGTGGCGTGGTGGTTGGGATGCTGGACACTCCCACGTGGCCAAACCAAGGTTCAAGTCCTGGACCTGGTGGCTTGCCTTCTCACTTTCTTT